CAGTGGTAGCAACAAGAACAGAAGTACTTGTGGCACCTTAGAGACTAACAGATTTATTTGAGCATAAGCTTTCGTGGGCTACAGCCCACTTCTTCGAATGCATAGAATGGAACACCTATTGAGAAGATATATATACACATACAGAGAGCATGAAAAGGTGGGCGTTGTCTTACCAACTCTGAGAGGCCAATTAAATAAGAGGGAAAAAAACTTCTGAAGTAATAAATCAAGATAGCCCAGTACAGACAGTTTGATAAGAAGTGTGAGAGTACTTACATGGGGAGATAGATTCAATGTTTGTAATGGCTCAGCCATTCCCAGTCTCTATTAAGTCTAAATTAATTGTATTTAATTTGCATATCAATTCAAGCTCAGCATTTTCTCGTTGGAGTCTGTTTTTGAAGCTTTTTTGTTGCAAAATTGCCACCTGCAGGTCTGTCATTGAATGACCAGACAGGTTAAAGTGTTCTCCCACTGGTTTTTGAATGTTATGATTCCTGATGTCAGATTTGTGTCCATTAATTCTTTTGCGTAGAGACTGTCCGGTTTGGCCAATGTACATGGCAGCGGGGCATTCCTGGCACATGATGGCATATATATCGCATTGGTAGATGTGCAGGTGAATGAGCCCCTGATGGCATGGCTGATGTGATTAGGTCCTATGATGATGTCACTTGAATAGATATGTGGGCAGAGTTGGCATCGGGCTTTGTTGCAAGGATAGGTTCCTGGGTCAGTGTTTTTGTTCAGTGGTGTGTAGTTGCTGGTGAAGATTTGCTTCAGGTTGGGGGGTTGTCTGTAAGCTAGGACAGGTCTGTCTCCCAAGATCTGTGAGAGTGAGGGATCATCTTTCAGGATAGGTTGTAGATCTTTGATGATGCGCTGGAGAGATTTTAGTTGGGGGCTGAAGGTGACAGCTAGTGGTGTTCTGTTATTTTCTTTGTTGGGCCTGTCTTGTAGGAGGTGACTTCTGGGTACTCGTCTGGCTCTGTCAATCTGTTTTTTTTTTCACTTCAGCAGGTGGGTATTGTAGTTTTAAGAATGCTTGATAGAGATCTTGTAGGTGCTTGTCTCTGTCTGAGGGATTGGAGCAAATGCGGTTGTATCTTAGAGCTTGTCTGTAGACAATGGATCGTGTGGTGTGTCCTGGATGGAAGCTGGAGGCATGTAGGTAAGTAGAGCAGTCAGTAGGTTTCCGGTATAGGGTGGTATTTATGTGACCATCGCTTATTAGCACAGTAGTGTCCAGGAAATGGACCGCTTGTGTGGATTGATCTAGGCTGAGGTTGTTGGTGGGATGGAAATTATTGAAATCATGGTGGAATTCCTCAAGGGCTTCTTTTCCATGGGTCCAGATGATGAAGATGTCATCAATGTAGCGTAAGTAGAGTAGGGGCGTTAGGGGACGAGAGCTAAGGAAGCGTTATTCTAAGTCAGCCATGAAAATGTTGGCATACTGTGGGGCCATGCAGGTACCCTTAGCAGTGCCACTGACTTGAAGGTATATATTGTCCCCAAATGTGAAATAGTTGTGGGTGAGGACAAAGTCACAAAGTTCAGCCACCAGGTTAGCTGTGACATTATCGGGGATACTGTTCCTGATAGCTTGTAGTCCATCTTTGTGTGGAATATTGGTGTAGAGGGCTTCTACATCCATAGTGGCCAGGATGGTGTTTTCTGGAAGATCACCGATGGATTGTAGTTTCCTCAGGAAGTCAGTAGTCTCTCAAAGATAGCTGGGAGTGCTGGTAGCATAGGGCCTGAGGAGAGAGTCCACATAGCCAGACAATCCTGATGTTAGGGTGCCAATGCCTGAGATGATGGGGCGTCCAGGATTTCCAGGTTTATGGAACTTGGGTAGCAAATAGAATACCCCTGGTCAGGGTTCTAGGCATGTGTCTGTACAGATTTGTTCCTGTGCTTTGTCAGGGAGTTTTTTTAGCAGATGGTGTAGTTTCTTTAGGTAATCCTCAGTGGGATCCGAGGTCATATTTCAATCATACAGGATCACAACCATGATGGGGGAAAGGAGCTGTATATTGCCCTTACATGCCAGGTGACAGCTTTATTACTATATAACCATAGGTACATATTTAGCTCCCAAAGGCCCCACTAATGACTGGGGCCCCGTTTTGCTGGATGCTTCACAAACACAGATAAAAAGACACAGGAATACAGGAACTGCCAGTGTGGATAAAAATCATGAACCATTTAGTCCAGTACCCTGTCTCCAACAGTGGTCTGCACCAGATGCTTTTGAATAAGATGCAAGGACCCTCCCAATCCCTAGTAATTAGAGATTGTCTTAAATTCTGCATGATAAGGTTTACTTATTTTTCCAAGACAATCCCTGCCATGGAGGGTTTGCAGTTTACGAAACAATAAACAGACAAAGGGTTGGAGATTGGGAACAACATGTCAGCAAAAGGACAGGTTGCGATTCATGTGGGGACCCTGGAGTAAATGTCATAGTTGAAGTTATATTGTAACACACTGTATTTGCCAGCCAATTGGGATGGTGTTTGAATATTGGTTTAATTAACATTTTGTTAAAATTGCTATGTTGTATTACGTAAGCATAGTGGGGCAGTTGGTTGCAGTATGTGCTTTCAGGAGGCTCAGAGCAGCCTGTGTGGGAGATTACTGCCTCCACTTCTAGATTAGGGAAGACCGAGCTTGTTTAAACTTCAAGGAAGCAAAACTTTATTCTTGGAAGTATGGCATTGGCATGGCTTGGTTTGTTACATGTTTCTGGTTGGCTGGCTTTTTAACTGGGAGTACAGGGAAAGTGAAGGGGAGGGGGACAGGTATGGGGAAGTGAGTATGAGTAGGGAAGCAGGAAAGAGAAGGAAGAGGAAAGGAACAGTCTCAACTCATCTCATCTGTGTAGCCATAATCAATAGTTTTTTGTAGGCATCATGGCAGAGATGAGTTTGAGGTTCTGTCTCAACTAGTATAAAAGGTAGTTTTTTTTTAAACATTAGCTAACGCATTTTAAAATGCTAGTTTAGACAAGGCAAGTTATATTTTAACATGGGTTAGTTCAAGGTCAAGGTGAGCCCTGGGAAGGGTTTTTAGAGTTAGGTTTGGTCTACACTTAAAAGTTAGCTTGACATAGCTACATCAGTCGGGCGGGGGGTGTGTGAAAAAAAACATACCCCTGACCAACATAATTATGTCTCCATAACTTTTAAATGAAGACGCAGGCATGTCAATGGAAGAATGATTCTGTCAACATAGATGCCATGATTTGGAGAGGTGGTGTTCCTACACTGACAGAAAAAGGCCTTCTGGTGGTGTAGGCTGTGTCTACACTACAGAGTTATGCTGGTATAGATATGTCAACACATGTATGCCAGTATAATCTCTGTAGTGTAGAAACAGTCTCAATCAGCAGAGACGGTGAAAGCCAATCAATCCTCATTGTTAGGAGAAACATCATCCATCTCAGACACTTTGAGAGAGCTGGTCAAAAAGTGGCAATTCTTTTCTATGTATTGAAAATTTTGTATTTTTAATCCAACAGAAATAGATTAGATTTCAAATGAAAAATTTTGATTCAGTGTAATTTGAGTCAAATCAAAAGGTTTAATTTTTGGAGGCTATTTCTCCTTTCTTTTCCTCCCCCCGGAAAGGAAGAGAAAGAGTGAGAAACAAAAACAATGACAACCACTAAGAATACATGAGTGTTTTCATTTCAAACCTCATTGAAAATTTTTGTTTTGATGAAAAATTGATAAACCAGTGAACATTTCCTAACAAAAAGAGAATTGTTTAAAACTTTTTTTGGTTCAGTTCAATTTGAAAACTTTAGAAGGAAATCAATGAAAAATCTGAGGATAGTGAAGATTATAAAACAGTTTTGTCAAAAAATCTTTTTTAATGAAAAATGTTTTTAAAAAAGGAACTTGAAGTGAGAGGATCTGAGTTCTTCTCCTGGCTTTGCTGTGTGCCATTTGGCAAGTCACTTAGTCTGTCTCTGCATTAGCTTCCCTATCTATAAAGTGGAGAAAGAGAGCCCTTTGTCAGTGGGCATTGAGGCTTCATTCACTAATAGATCTGGTCAACATTTTTTAGATCAAAAAATTTTCCCACTGAAAATTTGGGTTTCTGTCTCACCCCTCAGGAAAAAGGTAGTTTTGACTAAATTTGCAGATTTATTTTTAAAGGAAGTTTCTAAACAAGGCAATTTTTTAAATTTCAATTGAAATTTGTTTCATTTTGTTTTCTGAAAACCAAATATTTTTTGAAAATTCAAATTTGTTTTTCCCCTTTTCTCCTCCTTTGCCCCCTTTTTTGGCATTGTGCACAATTTAATAAATAATGTCCAAGCTGTTGTAGGGCTTTTTTTGCTTTATTTTTCCCCTTTTCTACTCAGTAATGTTTCAAAACTTCATCCTGTTGTGGAAATTTTGAAAAGTCACAGAGCGGAAGAGTTATCAAAGTTCATTTTTCTAACTTGGTAACTTTTCCAAAGTTGGAGACATTTTTAAAAGTTAAAGTAGAAAAGGGGAAATGTTAAAAAGAGAGGAAAGAATAAAAAACCCAATAACTAGACGTTCTATTCCATTCAGGAGCAAAAAAGGGAGAAAACAAAAATCCAGAATTTCAAAAGGTTGTTTTAATTTCTGAAGGTTGAATTGAAATGTGAATGTCAATTAAAATCAAAATGAAATGAAATTTCAGATAGAACTAAAGCATTTTAAAAAATTTGAATCTAAATGAAAAAATATTGTTTTATTTCATTTTGAAGTTTTCCCATGGGAAAAAAATATCAATATATTTACAACAGAAATTCATTGTTGGAAAAAAGTATGTTTTATTCTGTTTATTAATATTTCTAAAATGCTTTGAGATCCCTAAAAATCTGGGTCTGCAGAAGAGCACAGGGTTAGTATTGAATTAACCCTTTGATCAAAGGCTAATTCCCAATAAGGCTTGTTTCTACTGATTGTGTCTGGAATGTTTGTATAAGCCGAGGTTTGTGTTGGTCTCTCTAGGATTTGCTGCAGAATTCTCCGAACTCGATGACTGCAGTGGCCAACAACCCCCAGGGAATTGTGGTCCCAGCATCAGCGCTGCAGCCGGGGAACATCTCCATGACAACGGTCAATTCACAAGTTGTGTCAGGTGGGAGGCGTGCAATGTACATCAATGACCCTGTTAGTCACATCTTTTGCATGCTTAGGTTCTTTTCTTTAGATGACAAGAAAAAAAAAACCCTGAAGTACGAACAGGCAGAGCAAATGTCTGTGAAATGAAAGGTATGGCATGGAACTGGGCAGCACCTGGCACATCCAAGTGTCTTCTGACTCAAATGTTGTGAAATGGGAACACCTGTCTTTCTGTTAAAGCTGAGATCATTAACTGCACAGAAGGAGAGTTCTACTGGCTCTACCTTCTTGGATCAGGGCTCACAATACGGCATGCTGGCCCCTTGGTAGCCAGTAGGTTCATTTTCATGTTACTGTCAGAACCACTCTTTGTGAGCTGGGTATTGTCTGTTATTTCAGCAACTCTAGTTCTGCTTTGGGTACCGATCTGTGGCCCAGGATGAATTCATCCAGTGCAGAATTGATGCGTTTTTAAACAGAGCCGTAGTGTTGATGCATCAGCCTTCTGTCATCTCTGCTTTGCAGAATGTCAAATTCTGTAGCTCCAGGGGTTGTCTTATCCCCAAAATAGGATGGGAGAGTTCTATCCCCTCGTAGCCACTCCAGGCTGTGGCTGCCCCGGAACCTTTGGAAGGAAACGACATTGTTTTGTCATACTTTTACTGTGATCCTTTGCTTGAACTACAGGAATGGATCTAGACCCAGTTTTGTCCAGCTGGTCTAATCCTTGTGCTGGACAGTGTGCAGCTCAGCTACAAGTGTTAATATGCTCCTTTCAGAACTGACTTCTCACTACAACCCTGAGCTGCAGCTGGGACCAGTGAAACCACTGGCCTTGTGCATGTGCCTCCCCTTGGCCAGCCTGGAGTGATAAATACCAGCTGTTTCCCTAAAACTCTGCTTTGAACTATATCTTTGTCAGGTGGAGCCCTTTACCAGCCTGTAACTATGGTAACATCTCAGGGCCAGGTGGTAACCCAAGCAATCCCACAAGGAGCCATACAGATCCAGAACACACAGGTAAGATGAGTGGGACCAAGAGGCCTGGCTTCTTTAAAGTTTTTAAAGGGGAACAACTACAGGGAAAGAGCTTAATCATTTTTCATTCATCCACTGCTCTCACATCTCCATCTGCCCCCACAATCTCCTTTCATGCCCTGTCTCAGCTCCTACTCTCTCTGTCACATGCTTTCTCTCACACTCTTTTTGCACATGATCTCAAGTTCCCTCCTCTCACACTCTCCCCTCGTGCTATCTTGTGCTCTCTCCCTTCTCACACTCACTCCTGCTTTCTCACCCAAATTGTACAGGCAGGCTCACTTACAAACAACAGCTGCCACTGCTTTTAGCAGATTTTAGGTCCAGCAGTTCCTGACAATATGCTTAGCAATGAGGAGCCAAACTTTCTGTCAGAGTGCAGACAGCTCTCATTAAAATGATTGGGGGTTATGTACTCACACATGATCAGACCTGGGACATCCAGCCAGACCGATGGATAATGCAAGTGTGATGGGCTGTCAAAGGGAGATCTGAGTTTTGATCCTGCACTAACACTCTGGCTTCTTAGTAAGTAACTGACCCCTGACGTGTGAACATCATTGAGGAGATGCAGACTCATGACCAGCCTGTGTGAAATAAGTCAAAGAAAGGCTCTGATTTACTTGGGGTTGGTCCTGCTTGGAGCAGGGGGTTGGACTAGATGACCTCCTGAGGTTTTCTTCCTACTCTAACCTTCTATGATTCTGTGATAATCCACTTCTGAGGGGCAGGGTGATTCAGTAAAGTTATTCTCTGACCTTATGGCAATAGGTTTGACAGACTGATTGAGTCCTGTGCTTGCCCTATATGAATACATATTTCAGTAAGTCTTTTTAGGATCTGAATCCCAAATATTTATGTGCTTCTGCTGTGGTTAGCTACATTAGCTTAGCAGTGGGCTGCCTCATCCAAGAGTCCTGAACTAGCTAGGGCCTAATGTGTGAGAGTTCAGGGTCTGGTAATAAGAACTGCCCTCTACTGAAATAAAGCTCTGTTCCTCCAGAGCTCTTTGGCAGTTCAGTGTTGCAGAGCTTTGAAGCTTGGGAGAGCAAAGCTCCTTGTTTAGTTTTCTCTTTAAAAAATAAAACTATACACACAGAATGCAAAGAATACTACATAAAGCTAATGCTAAAATTACAGTTAATCACGCAAAAGTCAAGAGAGGTTAAACTAAAGGTTGCTCACACAACTGTAACTCTGCCTCTTTGGTTGAATGCATTATAAATACGGGGACAGATTGGCCCAAGTGCTCCTGTTGTGTTGCACGACTCTTATGATGCAAAGCAGCCAGGGCTGGCTTTAGCAGGTGCAGGGCCTCACGCCGGGACGCGAATTGTCTCACGCCCCCCGCCCCAACTCCGCCCCAGCCCCGCCCCTCCCTGCCCCATTGGATCCATCCCCAAATCCCCGCCCTGTCCCCGCCCCCAGCCCCGCCCCCTCACTGCCCCATTGGATCCCTCCCCAAATCCCCGCCCTGGCCCCGCGTCTTCCCCAAGCACGCCGCATTCCTCCTCCTCACCCCTCCCTCCCAGGCTAGCGCTGATCAGCTGTATGGCGGTGCAAGCGCTGGAGAGAGGGGGGAGAAGCAGGATGCGGCTTTTTTTTCCCCGCTCCACCGGCAGCCCGGGACATTGCGGGGCCCTCTTAAGCACGGGCCCCATTCCGGGGAATCGGCCGAATCGGCTTAAAGCCGGCCCTGAAAGCAGCTATAAATCCATTTAAGCAGCGACTTAAGCTAGGTTTACAGCTCCTTTGTATCACAGTGGTGCAAAGCAGCTGGAGTGTAGCTGTGAATCTGGCTCAGTCTTTAATTACATGACCACACACTATTTCTCCAGATAATACAAAAACATATCATTCAGGTCTTTTCTACAACCTCAGACAGACACGTATAACATCTTGTAGTGCTGTGCAGTCCCTAGAAGTCGTTCGTATGAAATGTATGTGGAACACACACTTAGACAACATGCCATGAACAACAAAGAGTCATAACGAAGAATCATAATGAAAACGCATTGGCTTTCACAGGGGTTTAAAATTAAATGATAAACTCTTCTATCAGGAATACCCGTGTATTTGATGTCCATTTATAGCAAAAAAATCTGTTTTCTATTTACTTGAACTGGTCTAGCTAGAAATGTATTGATAACTTTCAAGCCGAGTGTAAATTCTGTACTTGATTTACCATGCACTGAAGAGACAATATTTAAAAGAACAAGCATTCAAAAGCAATTATGGCCTAGTTGGCAGATGCGATTGAGGCACTTCTGAAAGTCATGTCCTTAACGAAGAAAGATGAATGCATTGATTCTCAGAGTGTTCAGAAATGCAGAGAGTTACAGTGAAAAAAGACCCAATAATTAACCTTTTATTGTAAGGAATTCCACACAGGCATTTCTCTGAGATATCCCTCAGTTTGGTTCATTCCAAAGCTACAGCTAAGGTGATTATCAGACATTTTAATGTGAATTTGAGCAATTTACTGTAGGATTATAGACAGACTTTAAGGTCAGATGGGACCATCATGATGATCTAGTCTGACCTCCTGCACATCACAGGCCACAGAACCTCTGGCTGAGTTCCTGAAGTCCTCAAATGATGGTTTAAAGACTTCAAGTTACAGAGAATCCACCGTTGACACTAGTTTAAACCTGAAAATGACCCATGCCCTGCTTGACGCAACAGCAAATTTTTGAATTATCTGCATTGTATAGAACAAAAAATGATACAACAATATACAGCAGTGCACAGGATAATACATCTGTCCTGTCAACAAAAGATATCACCATAATCACTCATCCACAGCTCCCACGCACATGAATTATGGAGCTCAGTAAAAAGGTTCATTTGTTTTATTGTTCATCACTAGTTTGTTTCCTTTGTATTCCCCCTCCCTTTTCATAAATTATAGGCATTTGCAGAAACTGATTCAGAATACTGAGATTTGTATTCACTGTGCTAAAGAACTTTCCCAGCCTTCCATTGGAAGTCCATAGAGACAGAGTCAAACCTAGCTGACAGATGTTTGTGCTTGTTTCATACAAAAAACTATATCCAAAGGTAAGGGTTGCAGATTTAAGCACTCAAAGTAAGGTTGTCTGTGCAACCTAACTATATGTCTCTTTCGTAACAGAGGCAGGGATCCCTCTGTTTCTATACTCATGTAATTAAAGACTGTCATAATAAACACACAGAAGCAGAATTAAGGTTGCATGGGTGTTTCCTACCCAGTTAGTGTTTGATTTTGCAGTTTTAACTTTCTTTTAATAAAGGTCACATGTATGAAGTTTTAGGTTTTTTAAAAAACAAGTTATAAAAACTGAAATTCTGTCACACAGAGCCATAATGGAAAAATTTAAGAGCAGGTTAGACAAATACCTGTCCAGGATGGTCTAGATAATACTTTGTCCTGCCATGAGTGCAGGGGACTGGACTATATGTCCTCTCAAGGTCTCTTCCAGTCCTATGATTCTACAATGACTCCTCCCTCTGTGGTTTGAACCCAGTAGGGGAGCAGCAGACACCACTAATTTGGTCGACTTAATTTACCCTCTCCACACACACATCATACAAAACTCATCATGTCTACTTCGAGATGAGATATGATGCAGAGTGGTCAAGTTATTCCATTTCTATGGTAATGGCACAAACAATTACACCAACACGTTAAAATGACAACTTTGAAATATTTGCATTTGGCTGTTAAATAATACATAGTCATTAAACTAAGACAAAATTGGATTTCTTTGTGATCTCAAAGCATCACAACAATAACCTAAGGGTTAAACAAAATCTAGTAATAAATATGTATACGTATCATTATCATCATGTTGTTCACCATTGCAGTCTCTGTTGAGGCTTTGGGTATGACATTTTGGGGTACAATCCAGACCAGTGATGAGCTGTGTCACCACTTGCCCTGAAACCTGGGGTTCCTCCCAATGCTTTGCTGCTGTAGCTCCCAACCTGGGCTCCTCACAAACAGCCAAACAGCATGCAGGTCACCTCCTGAGTGTTTGTGTATAGCTTCAGCCCTTGTCCAGCAGCTCTGAACCCAGCAACCTGTCAGCAAACACCAGCCACACTCTGGCTTCAAACAGCCTTGGTTACTACCTGCAGAGTGGCCCAAACACACTCCCAAAAACGTGTGTTCTGCACAATCCAGCCCTCTCCTGGACAGTCCAAGCGTGCTAGATCCATTGTCCCTCTAAGGGGATCAATATACAACACTCTTGCTACTATTAAATGGAGTTAAGAACATAAGAATGGCCATACTGGATCAGACCAAAGGTCCATCCAGCCCAGTATCCTGTCTGCCGACAATGGCCAATGCCAGGTGCCCCAGAGGGAGTGAACCTAACAGGTAATGATCAAGTGATCTCTCTCCTGCTGTCCATCGCCACCCCCTGACAAACAGAGGCGAGGGACACCATTCCTTACCCATCCTGGCTAATAGCCATTAATGGATGTAACCTCCATGAATTTATCTAGTTCTCTTTTAAACCCTGTTATAGTCCTAGTCTTCACAACCTCCTCAGGAAAGGAGTTCCACAGGTTGACTGTGCGCTGTGTGAAGAAGAACTTCCTTTTATTTGTTTTAAACCTGCTGCCCATTAATTTCATTTGGTGGCCCCTAGTTCTTATATTATGGGAACAAGTAAATAATGTTTCCTTATTCACTTTCTCCACACCACTCATGATTTTGTATGCCTCTATCATATGCCCCCTTAGTCTCCTCTTTTCCAAGCTGAAAAGTCCTAGCCTCTTTAATCTCTCCTCATATGGGACACGTTCCAAACCCCTAATCATTTTAGTTGCCCTTCTCTGAACCTTTCCTAATGCCAGTATATCTTTTTTGAGATGAGACCACCATATCTGTACGCAGTATTCAAGATGTGGACGTACCATGGATTTATATAAGGGCAGTAAGATATTCTCCATCTTATTCTCTATTCCTTTTTTAATGATTCCTAACATCCTGT